CCCCATTTTCAGTAGGGCCGGTGCCCCTTCACCACCTGTGGTTTGTGTGGCTTCTCAGTCTCTCTCTCTATCTCTCTCTCTCCCTCCCTCCCTCCCTCCCTCCCTCTCTCTCTCTGTTTGCAGCCTGTGCAGATTAACTGGATTTTACTAACTTGTGCAAAGAATCTCATCACCTCTGGAATTCTTTGGTCCACGTGAACCTTTGATCTTCAACAAAGAGCCATGGAAAATGGGACCCGCAGTTGCACCAATCAATTCCATCTCCTTAAATGTTTTAAAACATTTCGCTTGGTGAACTCCAAAATTTGCACCCTGTTTTTGCCTGAGCTGCCTAGGTAAAGGGATTGCCCGGTTTTCCCTTGTGCAAACCAGTTCCTAATTATACATGAATTTGTGGTCTTTAGTATAATAAATTGATTCTGCATAATATCAGGAATGTTATCCAAGGCATATTACTGTCAGGGGAGAATGGATTTTTCAATCCATTTTGAACTGATATGAGCACGCACCTGAATTTACTCTTCACTTCACTTCTTCACTGCACCCCACATCAAACAGGACCTGCAGTGCAGAAAGGCGGAGGAGCCTTCAGCCCTTTCATCTGTCCAGATGTGGGGGAAAGACAGCCCAGAAGGAGAGAAGAGAGCTTGTCTGTCTCTCCTGAACTTACAGGATGCTATTTGTTTTTAAAAAGACTGTCTTGTTTTTCTATGTTTCCATCTCTGTGTCTTTGTAGATGCTGTGACAATACTGCTTCTTGTCTTTTCTAACACTTTCTGATAACTCTTTTTTAAAAAAAATATTTGTCTTCTCTTCTTGGCAATTTTACCATTTGTTCTGACATCCGGTATCCTTTAGTATTTCCAACGTTATAATATTTTGCATCATTCTTTAGCTATTAATTGGGTTTATGTTGTATTCTTCTCCTTTAATTAAAATATCTAGTGTACAATTTTTTTTAAAAAAATGTTTCTTTTTTTCTTAACAGAAAAAAAGTCAAAATAAGTCAACTTTCCCACAGGAAAGTTCCTTTATAATTAATACCAAAACCATATTTCAAATTTATCAGGCCTCTTTATCTGTTTATAACTTTCTAAAATCAAAGTCTTCATTACCTTTTTGATTTTGATTTTTAAAAAAGTTTAGGGAAACATTAAGAATAACACATCCCAAAAAATTTAACTTGGCCATGTCCTAAAGAATAGAGAATAGAATAGAATAAAGTAGAGTAGAGTAGAGTAGAGTAGAGTAGAGTAGAGTAGAGTAGGGTAGGGTAGGGTAGGGTAGGAAAGAATAGGGTAGGGTATGGAAGGGTAGGAAATGGAATAGAATAGAATAGAATAAGAACAGGAGTAGAATAGAATAGAATAGAGCAGAGCTGGAAGGGACCTTGGAGGTCCTCTAGTCCAGCCCCCAGCTCAAGCAGGAGGACCTATACCATCTCAGACAAATGGCTGTCCAGTCTCTTCTTAAAAACCTTTGATCAGTTTCCAGTCATTATTATCCAACCATCATCAGCTTTCTGAAAGATCTCAGCATGTCTGTGTAGCCTATTTAGTGCCATTGTCTGGCAGTTTATGGGCAATCAGGTTATATCCTCTTCCATACATGTGGCTCTCTTGGTAGAAATATAGGCGTGTTTGCCTCCTAAGCAGGGCACATGGATGCATTTGCCGTGTAGAAAGTTAGCACCCATCTCTCCCCTAGAAGAATGAAATATTTTGGGAAATATTTAAAAAGGTAGAATATTATATTTCTCTAAAAGAGAATCATGCTCTTGGAGGGTAGCCCCCACCTTTCTTAATAGTCCCAGCAGGACTGGGCCAGCCTATCTATAAGACAAATTGTCTTCAAATTCCAGGAAGGTGGGATTATCCTTCAGGGCAAAGCCATTCAGCCACAATAGGAACTGCATTGTATCAGCCCAGGTTTCAACCTAACTTGACTCAGAAAACCTACAAAGTTAGCTATGATCCCTGCATTGTCATGGCGTTCTTTTGTTTTGCCAGATGTGCTTATATTCTAAGACATCGGCTGACTCTTCTCTGTAAGCCTACTATGCATGTCCTTTTGCCTTCTTCTTTCTCTTTCTGTTTTGCCTGCCACGAGGAGGTAGGCTAGGAACTTTACCAGAATGTAGTTATTAGCCAGTAAGTTTGTTTGTTACTTATTTTACAATAAAAATATGTTTCTTAGAATCTACCTCGGGTTTATTTTACTTAATCATAANAGGAGGAATTTCCTGACAGTGAGAACAATCAACCCATGGAACAGAAGTTGCCTTCGGTAGTTGTGGAAGTTTCAGCCCTGGAGGCTTCAAGAAGAGACTGGACTGGCACCAGTCAGAAATGATGTAGGGTTCTCCTGCTTGAGTGGTTGGTTGGACTAGATAACCTACAAGGTCCTTCCAATTCTGTTAATCTGTGTAAAGCGAAAGCACCATGAGGGTGAAGCAACTAAGTGTATTTAGCCTTAAGAGCAGAAAACTGGGTGGTGTTTGTGTGTGTGTGTGTTTGCTTTTTCCCAAGATCATGTTGATTTTTTACAGCAAAATTCCAGGGCACCCCCAACCATCTATCTATGTCATACATTTCCATCCACTGTGGGAGACCGAAGCAGCCCAGAAAGGAAACACCTGTTACCTTCTCCTCTGAGCCTCGTCAATATTGCAACATTGCTCAGGAGCGATGAAATCAATGGGATCACTCTCAAATAAGCAGGGCTCAGATATTGCTCTGAGAAATGAGATTGTAAAAGCTCAGTCTGAAGCAATACCACTGAGAGAGAAAAATAAGAGATCGGAGAAGAAACCAGCATGGTTGCACAAGGAACTCTCTGACAAACTGAAAAATGAAAAGGACAAGTATGAAAAAGAAAGAAAGAGCAATATATAACTAAAATGGAACATCAGCAAATAGCCCAAATCTGCAAAGACAATGTCAGAAAAGTTCCTAAGACTTGCTAGAAGACTTGCTAGAAATGATAAAATAATTATAAAAAATTCAACATATAAAAAAACAAGAAAAAACGCAAGGAAATGGGAGAAGATAGCAAGGAGGTGATAGGCAGCAGGGAGAAAGCTTAATTCATTATTTGCATCTGTCTTTACACAAAAGAAAAAAAAAACGTCCAACTTATCAAAAGCAGCACCAATCTATGAAAAACAGATTAAGAATACAGCGGGCAAGAAAATTGTAAGACAACATCTATCTGCTTTAGACACGTTCAAATCACCTCAGTTTGTCAAAAACATACCAGACAAACCTTCTTTGATAAAGTGACTAAATTAGTGGACCAGCAAAATGCTGTGGATATAGCATAACATGGACTCCAGTAAGGCATTTGACAAAGTAGGTCACAACCTATTACTTGATACAATAGGAAAATGTGGGATAGACAGCATCACCACCAGATGGATTTGTAGCCACTCTCAACATTTGGTCCTCAGTGGAACTGCATCTCCAAGGAGGAAAGTAGGCAGTAGGGCACCTAAAGGTTTTCTCTTAGGCCCAGGACTCTTCAACATCTTCATAAATTATTTAGATGATGGGATAGAAGGGAAACTCATCAGATTGGCAGATGTAACCAAGCTGGGGCAAAAAAACTTTATCACTTTCAAATAAGAAGGGTCCCTTCCATTTCTGTTGTTCTGCTTGAGAGGCACTCAAAGCATCTGGCACAATGTTGGTAAAGGAGTGGGGGGAGGCTTGCTGGTCCCAAACAGAGAAATTTCTCTGGTCCAAAACCAGTCCCAGGAGTGGCTCAGTTGGTGGTCTCATGAGGCACGAGCCCACTTAGCCCATCCAGCCTCCCTCGGGGGTGCCAATCACTTGGGAAATGCTTGGAATTGCACAACTACCACCAAGACAAAACTGGAGGGGAAAACCCATCGCATTTGGCGGCTGTAAGATCCCAATCAGAATAGAGCTGGAAGGAACCTTGAAGGTCTTCTAGTCTGACCCCCTTGGCTCAAGCAGGAGACCCCAGACCATTTCAGACAAGTGGCTGTCCAGCCGCTTCTCTTCTAGAAGGCCTCCAGGGATGAAGCAGCCACAACTTCAGAGGGCAAGAAACCCTCCTTTGAAGCTAAGGAGACCATATTCTCAACCTTTTGTTAAATGCAAAAACTGTCATACAGGTAGTCCTTGACTTACAACAGTTCATTTAGTGACTGTTCAAAGTTATAAGGGCACTGAAGAAAGTGACTTATGACCATTTTTCACACAACCATTGCAGCGTCCCCAGGGTCACGTGATCAAAATTCAGACGCTTGGGAACTGGCTCATATTTATGACAGTGGTCATGTCCCTGAGTCACATCATTCCCTCTTGCAACCTTCTGACCAGCAAAGTCAATAGAGAAGCCAGATTCCCTTAACTGCATTATTAACAACTGCAGGCTTAACAACCCATGGCAAAAAAGTCATGAAATGGGGCAAAACTTACTTAAAATATGTTGCATCTCCCCTTTCCCATTTGGGCTCTTTTCTTTAACACTTTTTTAATGCACACTGAGAGCAGATGCACCAAAGACAAATTCCTATTCCTATTTCATCCCATTCCAATTTCTATTCCTATTCTATTCCTATTCCTATTTTATTCCATCCCATCCCATCCCATCCCATCCTATTCTATTCCAATTTTCTTTTTTGTTGTTGTTGTTGTTACATAAACAACACATGCCCACAGCAGTGGGGGGAAAAAATCAAAACAAAAGAGAACAAAAAACAAGACAGAGGGGGGGAAAAACAACACAAGTATATGTTATAAAAAAGTATATCAGCTGGTTACAAGAAGTTTTTTGTGCATCTCTTCCATTAATTCATATTAANTTTATCAGCTTGTCTTTAATTCTCGGTGGTGGTATCAAAAGTTTTGCAGATGGTATTTCATAAAGTATAAATTCTTTAATGCTTCTCACTCCTCCTGCACCCTGTCTTTCGAAGTAAATCTTCTGTGTGGCTGCTCCCCCTTCAGACATTCCATCTCCTTCTTTGGCAGGTGGTTGCTCCCACCATCAGCTCCCCCGTCTGCCAGGAACAACTGATTGAGGCTGGGAAGCTGGTGGCCAAGTCCGTGGAAGGCTGCGTGGATGCTTCCCAGGCAGCCACCTCCGACGAGCAGTTGCTGAAGCAGGTGGGGGTGGCCGCCACGGCGGTCACCCAGGCGCTCAACGACCTGCTGGAGCACATCAAGCAGCACGCCACGGGGGGGCAGCCCGTCGGGCGCTACGACCAGGCCACCGACACCATCCTCAACGTCACCGAGAACATCTTCAGCTCCATGGGCGACGCTGGTGAGGAAGGCCTGGGAGGCGGCCCCGTCTGCAAAGCCCCAGAGTTGAAAGGGGATGCCAGCCAGGATTGCCGGACAACCCCTCATGGCCTCTCCCTGCTCTCTGCCCGCCAGGCGAAATGGTGCGTCAGGCTCGCATCCTGGCCCAGGCGACGTCTGACCTGGTGAACGCCATCAAGGCGGACGCGGAGGGGGAAACCGACCTGGAAAACTCGCGGAAATTGCTGAGTGCTGCCAAGATCCTGGCAGATGCCACAGCCAAGATGGTGGAAGCGGCAAAGGTCTGGTCCGGAGCTCCACGGAGCAGAGGGTTGGGGTGTTTGGTTCCGGCGGTGCCGCTTTGGCTCTGTGGCCACAGCCGGACAATGCAGAAAACGGCCCTCTCTCCTGGGCGAGTCCCCTGGCAGGCGGCTCGCAGGCGAGTGGGCCCTGCCGGAGCCCACCCTTGTGGGTTTATTGGAGTTGCCCCTCCCGGATGGAGCAGAGGAATTTGGGGAGAAGGGTCTTCCTGACGGGCCTCTGTCCTTCCTGCCAGGGGGCTGCGGCCCACCCGGACAGCGAGGAGCAGCAGCAGCGGCTGCGGGAGGCGGCTGAGGGGCTCCGCATGGCTACCAATGCCGCAGCCCAGAACGCCATCAAGAAGAAGCTGGTGCATCGGCTGGAGGTGAGTTTCCCCCCCTTTGGTTCTTCCTGGCCAGCTCTTTCTGACTGGGAAAGTGAGGGCCTCACTCGCATCTCTCTGCCCAGCATGCAGCCAAGCAAGCCGCTGCCGCTGCCACCCAGATGATTGCGGCTGCCCAGCACAGTGCCGGAGGGAGCAAGAACCCTTCCGCCCAGCAGCAGCTCGTGCAGAGCTGCAAGGTAAGCAGGAATGGGGGGTGGAACCTTCTCCTCAAAGCCCCCTCTGATTCCTTGNTTCTCCACATTGGCCTCATGGACGAACCACGGGAACATTACATTTGGTAGCAGAGGATGGTTACTTCGCAGAGGGGAGCATCTCCAGCGTGGGCCCAAGTGGGTCAGCCCTGGAGGAAGCCCTGGCTGATGGCTCAGCAGGAGGAGCCCCAGAGGGACGACCGTCTTGGCTCCCTCGTGCTCTTTCCGACCCCCTTGGTTTTCCATACCACCACCACCCCCAATTCCGACCCTGGCATTTCTTGGCTGACCCCCACCCCCACCCCCTAAATCTTCCTTCCCAGGACACCATGGAGTACAAGAAGAAGCAGCGGCCCCTGAAGATCCGCATGCTGGATGGGACGGTCAAGACGGTCATGGTGGATGACTCCAAGACGGTCACCGACATCCTGATGACCATTTGTGCCCGGATCGGTGAGCAGCCTGGGGACCATTGGGTTGACGGACAGACGGGAAGGGGGAGGAGTGAGGAGACAGCCTCTCTTCTGTGGGTCCTTCCTCTCCTCCTCCCCCCGCCACCCGATTCAGGAGGGACAAACTGAAGCTTGGGCTACCAGGCAGCTGTGCCCATGGCTGTGGGCAGGGCGACGTTTGTCCCTGGCAAGGCTGCTTTGTGCCCCCCAGGCATCACCAATTATGATGAGTACTCGCTGGTGCGGGAGATCCTGGAGGAGAAGAAGGAGGAGCAGACGGGCACCCTCCGAAAGGACAAGACCCTCCTACGCGACGAGAAGAAGATGGAGAGGCTGAAGCAGAAGCTCCACACGGATGACGAGCGTACGTGATCCGGAGCCCAGCGCTCAGGGGAGGCGGGTGGGGTGAGGCGGAGGGGACCTCGGCGGCTCTCATCCTGCCCTGCCTCCTCGTGCAGTGAACTGGCTGGATCACGGACGCACTTTGCGCGAACAGGGCATCGATGACACCGAGACGCTGCTCCTCCGGCGGAAGTTCTTCTACTCCGACCAGAACGTGGATTCCCGCGACCCCGTGCAGCTCAACCTCCTCTACGTCCAGGTGCCCCTCGCTGCCCCTCTGCCTTGCGGGCTGGCGTGGGATGCTTTAGCCCGTCTGTGCTGCAACGGAGGCTTCCGGGGGAGGCCCTGCACTCCCAGGGAGGAGTGGTGGGGAAGGTCCCTGCTGACCTTGCTTCTCTGTCTCCAGGCCCGTGATGATATCCTGAACGGCTCCCACCCCGTTTCCTTCGACAAAGCTTGCGAGTTTGCCGGTTACCAGTGCCAGATCCAGTTTGGGCCTCACAATGAGCAGAAGCACAAGGCCGGGTTTCTGGAGTGAGTCCCACTGGGTCCTTTCCTGGGGCAGAGTTTTCCCTGCAGTCCCCTGGGTCGGGTGTTGGCTGGAGGGCTGGAGAGAGCAGGGGAGCCGGGCCTGAGAAGGCCCCTGTCTGAGGGAGACCCTCTTTCCCACTCTGCAGCATGAAGGACTTCCTGCCAAAGGAGTACATCAAGCAGAAGGGGGAGCGGAAGATTTTCCTGGTGAGGGGGGGGGGCAGGCTCTTGTGGGCCCCGTCCCGTCTACCTCTGGGAGGCCTGGACACCATGGCGGAAAGGGAGGGGGGGAATCTGCAGGAGGACGGTGGGGCAGAAGGGTTGGGGCAGCTGTGGGACAGGGAGGGGGGGTCATTAGGGAGCAGGAGAATGCAGCCCCCCTGTTCTCCCTCCCCTCCCCCAAGGCCCACAAGAACTGTGGCGGCATGAGTGAGATCGAAGCCAAGGTCCGCTACGTGAAACTCGCCCGCTCGCTCAAGACCTACGGCGTCTCCTTCTTCCTGGTCAAAGTAAGCAATGCTCCTTCAGCCCCGCTTTTGTCGTCCCCCGTCCCCTCGAGAGCCTGCTCACCGGCTCTGGAAGGGAGGCGGGAGTGGGGCTGGCTCCAAGGGCGGGGAGGGGGGCTGGCTGTGGAGCTTTCCTGCTCTGGGC